GAGACTCTGGACTCTGAGAAACAAACAGGGTTTTAGAGGGGAGGTGGGAGGGGGGATTGGTTAGCCTGGTGATAGGTATTAAGGAGGGCACGTACTGCATGGAGCACTGGGTGTTATACGAAAACAATGGATCGTGGATCACCACATCAAAAACCAATGATGTACTGTATGGTGACTAACATAACATAATAAAATTTAAAAAAAAAAAAAAGAAGTAAAATGGTCTCTGTTTGCAAAATGACATGATCTTATCTACAAAAAACTCTTAAGACTCCACCCAAAAACTGTTAGAACTAATTAACAAATTCAGTGAAATTTCACACTACAAAATCAACATACAAAAATCAGTTGCATCTCTATATACTAACAATAAACTATCTGAAAAAGAAATAAAACAATCCCATTTACAATAGCATCAAAAACAATACAATACTTAGGAATAAATTAAACCAAGGAGGTGAAAGGTCTGCCCACTGAAAACTATAAGACATTGATCAAATAAACTGAAGAAAACATAAATAAATGGAAAGATATTCTGCACTCATGGATCAGAAGAATTGTTATAATGTCCATACTACCCAAAGCCATCTTTGGATTCAATGCAATCCCTATCAAAATTCCAATAGCATTTTTCACAGAAATAGAAAAAACAACTCTAAAATTTGTATGGAACTTCAAAAGACCCCCAAATAGCCAAAGCAATCTCAAGAAAGAACAAAACTGGAAGCATCACACTCTCTGATTTCAAACTATGCTACAAAGATATAGCAATCAAAACACTATCATACTGGCATAAAAACAACACACAGACCAATGGAACAGAATCAAGAGCTCACAAATAAACCATGTATATACAGTCAATTAATATTTGGAAAAGGAGGAGCACCTGGGTAGCTCAGTTGTTTAAGCCTCTGCCTTCAGCTCAGGTCATGATATCAGGATCCTAGGATCCAGCCCTGCATTGGGCTCCCTGCTTAGTGGGGAGTCTGCTTCTCCCTCTCACTCTCCCTCTGTTCTCTCCCCCCCATTCTCTCTATATCAAATAAATAAAATCTTTAAAAAAAATAGTTGGAAAGGAGCCAAGAATACTCAATGCAGAAAGGATAGTCTCTTCAATAAGTGGTGCTGGGAAAACTGGATATCCACATGTGAAAGAATGAAATTGGACCCCTACCTTATGCTACTCACAAAAATTAACTCAAAATGGATTAAAGACTTAAACGTAATACTTGAAACCATAAAACTCGTAGGAGAAAACATAGGGGAAGAGCTCCTTGATATTGGTCTTTGCAACAAATTTTTTTGGATATAATACCCAAATCACAAGCAACAAAAGCAAAAATAAATGAGACCACACTGAACTAAAAAAGCTTCTGCACAGAAAAAAAAATTAACAAAATGAAGAGGCAATCTGTAGAATGGAAGAAAATATCTGCAAACCATATATCCAATAAGGGGTTAATATTCAAAGTATATAAGGGACTCATACAACTGAATAGCAAAAAGGCTAATAATTCATGTTAAAAATGGGCAGAGGAGCTGAACATTTTTCCAAAAACATACAAATGACCAAAAAGTTCATGAATAGATGCTCAACATCACTAATCATCAGGGAAACACAAATCAAAACCACAATGAGATATCACCTTACACCTGTCAGGACAGCTAGTATCAAAAAGACAAGACATAACAATTACTGGTAAGGATGTGGAGAAAAAGCAACCCTTGTGCACTACTGGTGGGAATGTAAATTGGTACATCAATTATTCTTCAATAATAATTTTTTTAAATGTACATATAGGGGCATCTGCCTGGGCCAGTCAGTAGAGCATGTGACTCAATTTCAGGGTCATAAGTTTGAGCCCCACATTGGGCATTGAGTTTCAACACTTTAAAAAATAATTTAAAAAAATGTGGGGAGCCTGCTTCTCCCTCTGCCTGCCGCTCCCCCTGCTTGTGCTCGCTCGTGCGCGCTCTCTCTCCCTCTCTCTCTTTGGCGAGTAAATAAATAATACCTTAAAAAAACCAAAAACCAAAAAACGAAATCTCTCACCTTGTTCCATTATATTCACTAATTACATTTAGTCCTCCAAACAAGGTTATTTTACACATAATAAAATAAATCCATACAATGGGTTTCTCCATTAGAATATAACACCCAGTACCATTAGTTCTCTGAAAATGAGAAGTTCCATATAAAATCCCCTTCAAAAAGTCAATACTCCAAATTTTTCATTAGCTAATTCTATAGCTACCTATTCCCCCAGATATTTACCTATAACAATTCAATTATAAAGACCATTAATTGAAGCACTCTGCTATTAACAACTCCTACTGATAAATTGTTTCTATCTAAGGACATATCTAAATAATCCAGGGTGGTAGAGCTTTATAACAGATAGGGAGGCCTCCAACGGCACCCAAAGAGTCCAAAGCACTGGATTTACTTTAAAAACAAAAACAAAAAACTCTCCCAATGTACAAAGTTTCTGCATTTTTCAAGTAATATTTTTACAAAGCATACTAAATTATATAACTGATAAATTAATATGTGTACTGTACTTGTCTTTTTCAATAGTTTCTTGATAAATAGTAAATTGGTCCTGCATATAGTCTTCATGCTTATGAAAAACATCACATGTTGGCTTCCAGCTATGGAAAAAAAACATTGTAATTAGAATCTCAGAATAATAAATTGTAAGAGATAATAAAAATGAATTTAGCTATTTAAAGATAAATGAATCTTTCTCTTCCTGGAGAAAACAAGCCTATATCAAGAAAGTATGCCCACCTTCCATCACCACCACTACCATCATTCAGGCAATCACACATATACTCAAATATCAATATCCATTAATTTTTACATAAAACCTACTGTGGAACCATGACTAAGGAAAGAGCAAATGTTATATGGCTGGACTGTGTATTGCTATGGCATTTCTAGAATATACTGTGCAACACTCCAACATCAGGCTTCCTTCTCATCATACTTCTAAGATCTTGGCTAACAAATTCTTTTGGAGTAAGGATTCAAAGAACTAGAATAAAGGCTAAAAAGAGGCTTTTTCTCCTTTGAAACTTAGAAAGTTGGGTCGCTATACCCTCCTGAACTAGAAAGAAAGAAACTCGGCCAAAAGAGTTATAAAATCAGATAGTAAGAATAAAATGAATAGTCATAATATTTTTTGTTTTATTACAAGACTTGAAAAATGTTACCAAATGTGAAAAATCTAAAATTTGCATCCACCATGTCAGCTTCCATTCTAAGTGTTGTTCAACTATTTCGTCTAGCTCTTTTTTTGAATCTTTAAATACTATTTTCAGATTCAAAAATTCACATGCCCACTTCGGAAGCAAAGAAAAGTATATGTAAGGAAATGACTATCATCCATATTCTCATCACTGAATAATAACTACTATTATCGTTTTAATAAACTATTTCCAGATTTTATGATAAGTATATTTTAACATCTTTTTTTTAAGGTTTATTTATTTGAGGGAGAGAGAGAGTGGGGGAAGAGGCAGATGGAGAGAGAATCTTAAGCGGACTCAGGGCTGAGTGAGGAGCCTTATGCAGGGCTCCATCTCACCACCCTGAGCTGAAACCAAGAGCTGGATGCTTAACTGACTACACCCCACAGGTACCCCTATATTTAACATCTTTGAGATCATATTCACATATATAACAATGTATCCTCTTTTATCATTTCCTTTTAAATTATACACATTTTCCTTGTCACTAAGAATTCATTGTAAAGGTTTTAATAAATACATCATATTCCATAATTTATCTAACCATTCCCATATTGTTGGCCATTTTTGCTTAATCTAAGTTTTTCTATTGTAAATAGAACTTTTACATAAATATTTGTCTGAATTGCTAATCATTTCCTTAGAAAACGTACCCCAAAATGGAACTGTAAGGTCAAAGGTTATACATACACATATTCTGAGTATTTTTAAAATTCTATAAGAAAACATTTTCACTAAAAAGCTTTTCCTGTAAGCATTTTGATGTATATACTCCTAAATTATTTCTACTTATATGTAAATAGACACTTACTAAATTGGGTTCATACTATGAATGTTGTTTTATTGCTTTTTTCATTTTGGAATATACATCTTTCCATGTCAATAGAAAGCTAACATCTTTCCATGTCAATAAATATACACTTATAATTTTATTGGTCACCTACTCTTCATTCATATGCCTATACCAAAATTCATTTAACCCATCACCTAATGTTCTTTTCAATGTTTTCCTATCATAAAAAAGGTTGAAATACCTTATTGTACATTACATCTTTGAGAAAATGCCTAATTATTTCCTTATGAAAAATTCTCAGAAATGGAAACTTTTAATCAAAAGCCATGCTTATTTTTAAAGCTTTTTAAAAAATATACTGATGTGTCATCCAAAAGTTTTATACCAGCATACATGACTATAGTGTACAAGATAAATGATTTTCTTATTCCCTGGCCAACACAGGATATTATCTTCCTTTAAATTTCTATAAAACTTAAAGGCAAAAAAGCAGCATTTTATTATTGCTTTAATTTGGATGTCTGATTACCAGTAAGACTGGGCATTTGTTCATATGTTTATTAAACATTTATTTCTTCATTTTGGTATTTACCTATTTATTTTCTTTGCCCATTTTTCTAATGGGGCTTTTGCTTATTAGTTTCCACATGTACTTTATATTTTTATTATTTTTATTTTTGTTAGATTTTATTTATTTATTTGACAGAGAGAAAGAGCACAAGCAGGTGGAGCAGGCAGAGGGAGAGGGAGAAGCAGGCTGCCTACTGAGCAGAGAGCCTGATGCGGGCTCAATCCCAGGGCCCAGGGATCATGACCCGAGCAGAAGGTAGCCGCTTAACCAACTGAACCACCCAGGTGCCCCTACTTTATATTTTTAAAAATTAACCCTTACTTGACATTTTTCCTATCTTATCCTTTTGCCTTTTATATCATTTGGAGGCATTTTTCTTTTTAACTTGTGTGTAGTCATATTTACCCATTGTTTCCTCTGTAGTTTCTACTTTTGGTGTACACTTACAAAGGCCTTCTACTCTCAAAGATTACATGGTTACTTATATTTCTTCTAGTACTTTATGAATTCATATCCCACATTTAAATCTCTTAACCAGTATGCTGAAATCATGAATTAGAGGTATATCACAGTATTAAGATCCTACTAACTGTCCTCGGAACCCAGCAGAGATTAAGCTTGAATGAAGTACAATACATCTTGGACAATGGTTCTAAGGGGAAACTACTTTCCCAGCACCCACTGCATCTAGTTGAAGGAAACCACTGGTAAAACCTCCTATAATAAAACTTAAATCAAAATAAAAGAGAAAGTTCAATAGTATGTTTTGTTATCAGATTGACAAATAATTTAAACAAAAATTTAAACATAATTTCAGTGTTGTCAAGGGTATGAGGAAACAGGAACTTTCATATACACTGTTGGTGGAAGTATGAATTTATGTAATCTTTCTGTGGAGAGAAGTTTGAAATTATCTATCAAATGTTTAAATGTGCATACTCTTTGATCTAAAAGTTGCACTTCTAGAAGCTCATTCTATAGCAACAGGTCTATAAATGTGGAAGGATACCTGTACATGTTGCTCATAAAAGGGAAAAACTAGAAACCTAAATGTCTATTAATAGGAGAATGGTTAAATAATTTAAGATACACCAACACGACAAAATCCCATGGAGTTGTTAATGAAATCTATACATAATCACTACATGTATAGTATCATTTACATAACATACTGTTAAATTTTTTAAAAACAGTAAATACAGTATGATCCCATTTTGTAAAAAGAAAAAATAGATATATAGATAGATGTACATAAAAGTTTATGTAATAGTGACATTGAATTTTTATTGAAAAATGTCTGAAAAGATAGAATCGTTAAAAATGATTACCTATAAGGAAGAGGATAGCGTTGAGGTAGAAACTGCAGGCAGCGAATAACTTTTTATACTACACATTTATATAATTTTTGAATTTTTATACTAGGTAGGCATTACTTTTATAAAGGGGGAAAAATTTAAAAAACGTTAAAATTCCGAATAAAAAATATTTTAAAACAAACAGGATTCTAAATTATAGTAGTTAATACAAAGACAATGGTCTACATAAAGTACAGAAAACTAACACATTTTATTTTTGTAATCTATAATAAAGTTCCACTAGTAAGCCTTTGTTTCAAAATGTTTATGTCTTATAATAAACTTAACCACTAGGATCCAGAACCTGAAGCCATGCTGAAAGAATTCTTAACATACTGAATACATTAACTTTGAAAAGCAACTGATTTTAGGCTAGATTCCCCTAAAAAAAAATAAGATCTTAAAAACTCAAAGATGGAAATTATTTCAAACGTATTTACCTGATAGGAATTTTATATACTGAGCCTATATTATTCAAAATTCTGTAGACTATTCAGATCTGAATTAGAGAGATTTTACAGCATTTCTATTTTTCTTTTGATCCTCCTATGATCCCTTTTTACCAAAGCATGTAGCAAAGCAAGTTAAGACCTGACTCATTCTTCTGCTAATACAAAACACTACTTTAAAGCAACAGTGTCTTCAATTATAAATACTATAAATTATAAATAACAGAAACCTTGAATAAAAAAATCTAGTGCCAATTACTGGAAGTTCATTTCTTTCAAATACTCACTTACTACAGTTGTCTTTGATCTCCTTACTATGTTTACAGTAATGACCAATTTCTTCATCTGTTGTATTTATAGTTTCATGTATCTTACAAATAGTTGCCTTGTTTTCTTTAATATCTTCAAAGCATTCTGGAAAGGAGAAATGTTTTTTAAGGTAGAAATCATAAACTCAAAATTAAAAAATACAGAGGATAAAGGGGTATGGCAATTTACCTAAAAGAAGGAGAACTAGAGAACTGAGAGGGAGTGAAGCTTGAGATGGGAAGGCCTTATACTAAAAAACACAGAACCAGAACCAGGCTTGCTCCTAGACCCAGAAGCAAAGGATTTGTGTTTGGGATGGGAGAAGTACACCTGAAACTGATATTATACTGTGTTAACTAACTGGAATTTAAATAAAAACTTAAAAAAAGAAAGAAAGAAAGAAATGTCCCTGTCCCTCATCTTTAACGTAAGAGGGCTAGATTAAGTGATATCTAGGATCAATGGTATCTTATGACAGTATGAGTTCATATAAACATTTAGTCATATATGATACTAACTTGTTTTGGTTTTGACAAATGTAAAATTTCTCTTCATCAATTCCATGTCAATTAATTATTAAATACACCTTTGACTCACTTATTTGTTAGTAGTGAATAAATATAAGATAAAATATAATTTAAATATTAAAATAAATTCTTATTTTATCTGCATTCTTTTTTGTTGCAGAAAGGTAACCAAATTCTATCTTTTCAGAACCATCAAGAAATTAATGGTTATATTTTATGATAGTTTTTATGTAGGATCTTAAAATACTGTATTTATGTAATTTGCTTTGCCATTTCCCTCGTAATATCATTTTTCAGAATTATTCCTGAAAATGGACATCCATCAATCCTGGCCCCTGACTTTTGGTGATGTCTAAAAAGATTTTAAAAATTCACTCATGTGATCCAAAATCTATAAGGAACTTATCAAACTTAACACCCAAAACTCAAATAATCCAGTTAAAAAATGAGCAGAAGACACAAATAGACATTTTTCCAAAGAAGACATACAGATAACTAACAGACACATGAAAAGATGCTCTACACATCACTAATCATCAGGGAAATACAAATCAAAACTACGCTGAGATATCACCTCACACCTGTCAGACTGGCTAAAATTAGCAACAGATGTTGGTGAGGATGTGGAGAAAGGGGAACATTCTTACACTATTGGTGGGAATGTAAACTGGTTCAGCCACTCTGGAAAACAGTATGAGGTTCGTCAGAAAGTTAAAAATAGAACTACTCTGTGATCCAGCAATTGCACTACTAGGTATTACCCAAAGGATACAAAAATACTGATTGGAAGGGTGCCTGGGTAGCTCAGTTAAGCATCCAACTCTTGATTTGATCTCAGAGTGGTGAGATGGAGCCCTGGGTCAGGCTCTGTGCTGAGTGAGGAGCCTGCTTCGGCTTTATCTCTCTCCCTCTGCGCCTCTCCCTACCACCCCTCAAGTGTGCTCTCTCTAAAAAAAAAAAAAATTGATTAGAAGGGGCACATGCACCCTGATGTTTATAGCAGCATTATCAACAATAGCCAAATTATGGAAAGACCCCTAATGTCCATCCACAGATGAATGGATAAAGAAGATGTGGTGTAGGGGCACCTGGATGGTATAGTCAGTTGGGCATGTGACTCTTGGTTTTAGCTTGGGCCCTGATCTCCCTGTTGTGGGATCGAGCCCCCTCATCCCTCTAGGTGCTCAGCATGGAGTCTATTTGCTATTCTCTCTCCCTCTCCCTCTGACCCTCCCACTCATATTTTCTCTCTCTCAGATACATAAATAAATAAATCTTAAAAAAAAAAAGGATGTGGTGCCTATCTACAATGGAATATTACTCAGCCATAAAAAAGAATGAAATCTTGCCGTTTGCAATGACAAGGATGGAGCCAGAGAATATCATGCTAAGCAAAGTCAGTCAGTCAGAGAAAGACAAATACCATATGATTTCACTTATATGTGGAATTTAAGAAACAAAACTAATGAACATAGGGGAAAAAAGAGAGAGAGGCAAACCATAAAAGAGACTCTTTAACAACAGAGAACAAACTGAGGCTTGCTGGAGGGTAGAGGTATGGGGGGGATGGATTAAATGGGTGATGGATATTAAGGAAGGCACTTGTGATGAGCACCAGTGTTGTATGTAAGTGATGAATCACTAAATCCTACACCTGAAACTAATATTACACTGCATGTTGAATAACTGGAATTTAAATAAAAATTTGAAACTATAAAAAAGCATACATTTAAAATTTACTTGTTTGAAATAACCTGTCATTTGAGAAAAATAACATTTCAACTGTGCTTAATTAAGGTGTTATATCTGCTTAAAGCAAAATTCTTCAACACAAAATAACTGAATGCTGAATACAGAAATGTATTACTGAAAAGCCATAGTTAGGGCAAACAGCTTAGTATTAGTCACTAGATAGAACTAGAACAAAAGTTATAATCCCAACTATAAGTTACCCTGAACAAGGCAACTGCTTATTATCTTACATGCCATAAAAAAACTTAAAAGCTAGAATAATTTTATCACACAAAACGACTTACTATTAATTCGTTGAAGCATATCTTCTTTAGTACTTATATCTTGCTCATACTGGAAAACTAAAAAAAACAGTAACGGCATTTCATTGTTAAAATGTTAAATGATAATACAAATAGTTACCTCTTTCTTTATTTTCATTCTATACCTACCAAATTCTAGCAAAAGTCTGTCCAAACTGACAAATAGGCTGTCATTCATCTTGGATACTATATTTAAAAAAAAAAAATAATTGTAAGGAAGGATTTTCTGAAGTCATATGCAAAACAGCATATATTCGTTTGGTAACAACGTTTTTAACCAAGCATTATTACAGCAAAATGTGGGGAGAGCAAGAACTGAGGGTCGGGACCCCGTCAGCCCAGTACTGGGCACAGCCCTAGTAAGGCCCCAGTAAATACTCGCTGAATGTCGTTGCAGGACTGAAATATCTGGGGGGGCGGGGGGAGCCTTCATAATCATTTATACGTGGTATTGCAATACGTCACTGAATATTCTGGAGTGCACAGACACCAAGATTCCTCAAAAGGATATGCCCTTTAAAATCTTCTCTCTGAATATGCCCTTTTCGGCGCGTGTACCACTACGCGTAGCAAGATTCCTAAAGAAAGTCCTTAACCAAAACCAAGGTAAAACCAAGCGAGAATGCAATTTTACACTTACGAATTTACCACCCAAAATCCCAAAAGTGGAGGTTTTCACAGGACTGCCAAGTCGCAGTACAAAATACGCCTGAGGCGGGGGTCGTATTACTCGTCACGCGCAGATTCGAGGAGCCACTCTTCCCGCCCATTCTGAAGCGCGAAGTTCGCTCAGGGCCAACACCCTCACAGCCAACGCGCTTCGGCTCACCCGGGTCCCTCCCCAACCCTCCAGGCAGGCGGCGGCGCCCACTGCTTGGGGCGGCACTGTGGCGAAGGAGGAGGCCACGCGCCGTCTAGCCCTGACGCGACCGCTGGTCGAACTCTGGGGACAGGGCCCGTCAGCCCCCCAGATCCCTCAGAGCCGCCGGCCCAGGGAATAACCGCCACACAGAGCTCCCTTTCCCACCCACCTCAACGGCCCCTCCGGGACCCGAACGTTTCACGCCCTCCCTTCTCTGGGTCCCACAACTCGACTGAGGGTCGCGAGGGCGGGGTACTCCACACAGAACCCGACACTGAAAGGCGGGCGGGGGTCCGCTTCGGCCCCACCCAGCCCCGCGAGACTCCGCGAAGCCGGCAGCGGGAGCTGCAGATCGCGCTGAAGAGCGAGATCGAACTCCCCGCGAGACCAGCGCTGCGGCAATCACCCCTTCCCCCTGGGGGAAGCGTGAACCAAGCACCCCGAAACCCCAGAAGTGGTGCGGGAGTCAGAGAGAAGCCCTAAAAGGAGGAACAGGGAACCTGTCAGGGATTTTCATGTTGCCTTGAAGACAAATGTTTTAAGACGATTCATTCCTCTTGTAACGTAGCCGTTTTAAAAAGTATTTTCAGAGAACAGCAGTAAAATTGAGAGGAAAAAACTCGAATCGATCATCAGAATTCAATTTTGCATTCAGCATTTTCAAAACTTCTTTAAAAGCAAGCATAAGAATTCAAATATATTTTCATTCAACAAACATTCTGAGTGACTCATTTGTTTAGTTTCAAATAAAATGTACATTAACACTTTTTGTCCAAATGCTGCCTTTAGATAATTTGTGCTCTTAGAATTTGTCAGCATATCCAAAGTGAAAACAAGAGTAGAGAAAATATAATTTAAGCAAATCAGCCCCCAAATTGCTTTAATTATTAATATATTTCTGATAAAGATTTTCAATACTAAATGATCTAAATAATTGCCTCAACTCACCACAACCTAAATTCGCAGATTATTAAAATGAAAAAGAAATTTTCAGAGGTTTTTCTTGCTTAAATACTTCAGATTATATGTGCATAACTGATTTTATTATAATGTGGTGTAATGTTGCTCATTAGTATTGATAGTAGGCCATCAAAACTAATGAAGTTTGATGATGTAAGAGATTTAACAGCTTTATTCTTATACTTGTTTATGATATATTTGTTAACTACCCCCTTTTTAGGAAGGAATAAGGGCATAAATATGAAGGTTAAAGTTACTTAGTCTTGCTGGTACTACATTGCTATGACTGTCAAGACAATTTGATAGGTCAAAAGTGTTGATGCAGTTCAACTTAACAGTAGATTTTCTTGTAAAAATTTGTGGAAACATAGAAACACCAACCTTACTGACACCTGAAAATCAACTTATTTGCATTTAAGTTCACATCTATGCATATCCTAATTACTCTTACAAAAATACAACTGTGTTCTACCAAAACCACTACCACCAAGTCCATTCTAAAAAATCCCTTCTAGAAAGCAATAAAGACGAAGTTCCATCTACTGGAGGGTTTTAAATTTTATTCTTCCCTCTCTATTCCCCCAATGAAATATAGAGCACCATTAGAAAAATTATAGACCGTTGACTCAGGTAAACATTTATCTTAACAAATCATTTTCTGGGAAAGTACTCCCATAAAAATCCCTCCCTACCTATCATTAGCACCTTCCCCTTTGCACCAGACATGCAAATCAGAATCTGAAGAAATTCTTTATTTAAACCTGCTCCCCATTCTAATTGTACTGTATTCCTTTTTTTCCCTTTTACTGCTAAATCTATCCAACAGAAAGCACATCTCCTGTTTACTATTGCTTTCCACTCCTTTCCGCATTGACTTTTTAAACTCATCTGCTATCCCCATGACAATTAACTGCTTTCTCAGATAATCAATAAAATATTTTTATTCCAAATCTAATGGTCTTTTCTCAGTCTTATCCCCCCCCCCAACCTTTTTTTCTAACTCTCCTCCATATTTGGTCCTATTAAAGGTCTTTGCAACCTTGACTTCCAAGACACTACTCTCTCATAGTTCTCTACCTCTCCTACCAGCACTTCTGATTTTGGCTTCTACTTCTTCCCTTTTACCATCACTACCCAACTATGGACTCTTACCAAAGATTTCTTTAACTCTACCTTTCTCTATACTCTTTTCTTTGGATCATTCATTCTAATGACTTTAGTTATCACTTCTGTGCTTAAAATTCCCAAATCTTTACTTCCAGTCCTATCTTATTATCTGAAAGTTATAAAAATATTTACATTTACATGTTTCCATTAGTCTGGGTTCAATCTGATCCAAATCCAAAGTCATCTCTTCCTTTCCCTCTAACACACCTGTCTCAGTAGCACAGTAATTACCCTCAAAATCAATATGTGGAAAGTTGGTATTTTATCTGTCTCATTACTTTCTTCATCTCTTATAACTATTCACAAAGTCTTGTTGATTTTTTCTTTTCTTTTTTTATTTAAATTCAGTTAGCCAACATAGAGTACATTAGTTTTTGATGTAGTGTTCAATGATTCATTAGTTGCGTGTAACACCCAGTCTTCTTTGATATATCCTTTATATATATCCAATCAACTCTATAAACCATTTTGTAGGCATACAGATATGGATTCAACTTCTAGTTCTATTATTTCTTAAGTCAAAACTTTGGGCAGGTTTCTAACCCAAGCTTAGTTTCCTCAAATGTAAAGTGAGAATCAATAACTCCAACACCTGGGGGCACGTGGCTGGCTCCCAGGTGGTAGAGCATAAAACTCTTGATCTCAGGGTCATGAGTTTGAGCCTCATGTGGGGCATAGAGATTACTTTAAAAAAACTCCAACATCTTTGCTTCTGAGATACAGTATTTACCTGTTTTTTCTGCTATTTCTAATAATTTATCTCTTCTTTCAGACTCATCCTCTTCCACTGAATCATGAAATGTTATAAATTCCTTGGGCTCAATCCTAGCCCTTTTCTTATTCTGTACTCTATATTAAAGTAATTCGTCCCTTCCACTACACAGCTTCCACTACAGCTTCCACTACACAGCTTCCACTACAACTACTATACAGATGACTCACAAATGTATATCTCTAGCCCAGGCCTCTAGTATCAATCCACGACCTTAGTGGCAAACAACCGAAGGTGACTCTGGCTGGTGTAAGCGAAAACAGAATTTGTTCAAATGACACTGCTTATCACAAAATCCCCAGAATAGCTAGAGAACCAGACTCAGAGGCAACCTAGGAAAGAACAATGCCCAAACTCATACCACAGAACTGGAGGTCAAGACAACACAACCACAACCAAGCACTAAGGACTGCAATTCACACCACTACCACCAGCATGAGATGCTTCTGTTACGTCCACAACCACAACTGCCCTACAAACTTGATCTAATTTCAACTGCCATCACTGCCAGAAGAAATTCTTCCTAGGGCACACTTCTTTGTGTCACTTACTTCAAATTCAAAATTTGGGGTGGGTACATTTGATTTGGGAAAGCCTAGGCCACATGCCCCATCTCTTGTTTCCCTCAGACTGAGGTAAAAAAATTCTCCAAATATAAGTGAATTTAAATGCTAAAAAGTAAAAAAATAAGAGAAACTTTCTGTGACACCTATCCTCTGAGTTCCAGATGCATAGATCTTAATTGCCTACACAATAAGCCAAAACACAATTCATGTTTTTCCCTCCACTAATGCTGGGCCTTTTTTGTTATCTGTCTTTCCATAAATGCGACCAGTATCCATTTGTATGTGCCATAAATCTAGGCATCGTCCTTGACAGTCTTCTTCTCATATCATTCCCCCACATCTAATCTATCACAAACCCTACCAATTTTACCTCTTACATATCTTTCCATCTATTTCTCTCCATCTCAATTGCCACCATTTTAGTCCAGGTTACCATCATTTTCTCACCTGGATTATTATAGTAGCTTCCAAACTAGTTTTGCTGCATATCTACTCTAGCCCTCTAGTCCATTCTTCATCCATCTTCCAATGGAGTGATTTTAAATGCAAATTTATTACTTTCTGTTTGTCTCTGTCTCTCTCTCTCTAATACACACACACACACCTTAGAACACTTCAATAGGAATGACTTCCTATTGTCCTAAGGACAAAATTCTTATCATGGCTTATAAGGCCCTTTATGATCTTGTCCCTTTCTATCTCTGCTTCCTCATATTATACCAACCTTATTTTCTTCCCTACAATCCAGCCTTACAGACCTTCTTTCAGTTCTTAACATCTTCCTTTCTAGGCATTGCACTTGCTGGCTGCTCAGCCTGGAATGCTGTAGCCTTCATTTGATAACCTCCTAATCCTTCAAATCTCAACTCAAGTATCAGCCTCAGTAATGCTCATTATAAACTCTCAGAGTTCATGTATTCATCCTTCATAGCCTTTAACATGGTTATAATTCTACATTATTTGTGTAATTGTTGTATAAATATCTATCTCATCCATTATACTGTAGGCTTCCTAAGAACAGGCCCAATCCCCTCTGTCCCCTCTGCCCCAACACCCACAAACACCTTCACAGCCACAAGGAATAATCCCAATTCAATTCACATGCAATTATAAGGTAATAAATGCCACCTCATTCTAAGAACAGTCCTTATAAAGAAAACAGTCATAGAAGAGGAAGTGAAGCAATTTGAATCTAACACAAATTTATTTACATGAACGGCAATCAGGTCAATGAAAAAAACCAACAAGTTTAAAGTGTGCCCAGATTTTCAAATATGCATGATGAAATTTACATTTTAATATTAAATTTATTAAAGATATATATTTAATATATATTATCATATTATATATACTACACTATAATATAATAATATTAAATATTAATATTAATCAAAACAAACCCTCCTTTGTTTCCTCAATATTAAATTTATTAAATATATATATAATATATATAATATTATATATACTATTATAATATAATAATATTAATATTAATATTAATCAAAACAACTCCCCCTCCTTTGTTTCCTCATTTGATCCCCTGTGGTAAGATTAGTGCTGCTCATCTTCCTGGCTACATTAGGTTTGTATTTTCATCACTTCCTTGAATTACCACATCAATAAAATATGAGTAGTTATTTGACAACTCTGCTCTATTTTCTTGACAATAATCCTAATGCTAGTAGGTTTCCTTTCTTTTTTTAAGGATTTTATTTATTTGACAGAGAGAGACACAGCAAGAGAGGGAACACAAGCAGGGG